AGGGGGGGGGGGGGGGGAGGGGTCGGGGAGAAGATATTTCGGCTTAGAGGGGGTTTCTGTTATTTGCATCCTGCTAAGGAGGTTTGGTATATGTTTCGCTTGGATCGTTTTGACCTCTGATGTCTATGACCTTAAATCTGTAGGCCTGTTACACGTTATATTATCTCTTTTTATATTATCCACTGCTTCTCTTGATTTGTGATTTATACTTAAGACTCCACTAGTACTCCATAAACGACGACAGGCAGTAAAGGAATATATTGAAATCATAACACTGATCACAGGTAGACAAGAAATTTCGCAGAGACCTCTCTTATCTTAGCCTAACTTAACTGAGAACTATTCTATTATGTTATTCATTTAGGCTAATAAAAAATCAAGCTAAAACAATAGGACAATAAAGGTGATTGTTTAGATATTTGAAATATTTCAATACTTAGGATCAACTTACGCTAGTAGTTCAAAATGAACCTCTGCTACTTTTCTTGTCCACCGGGAGCCGGCCATTACTCTAGAGTGGGTAATGACTGGGTATCTTATTGGGGAGAAAGTCACGTTCTCAAGTAAGCAGCCGAGCACGTGATCAAATTCTGGTAGAGCCGACGGACGGGAATTGGGAAATGTCCCCTCCCCACTCAGATGATGACTCGGCCCTAACCTCAATCTCTCCTTCATTGCAAGTATATCTGTAACGGAACCAGCAATCTCAAACTCCGAGTAGCCAAATGTTCGAGAACGAACGAGAAGGATTTTTGGTGATTCTCTCACGTGGACTTCCGACTGCAACCTGAATTGCAGCAAATCCGACCCTGTTAAGACTACTGTAAGGCGGAAATGCAGGTCCGCTCCTCCCTCTTCCACGCGACGGGAAACGACGGGCACTTTGTCCATTCCCTGAATCCCATGCCTTCGCCTCATGGCAGGAGGGATCCTGTCGACCGGGGTTGAACTGGATGAGAATTGACACTGCGGAGTATGTCAGCCACGGAGATGGTCAATTCGTAGGAGTTTCTTGGTTGGAGATGCTTTTATAATAAGGTTACATTATCTCCTTGCCGGATATCAATTCATAAAGTATCAATTCATACGATCGCGGTTCCATTCTCGTAGCATATGTTCGCAGGGCTATATATAGATATTCTCTGAACGCAACGAGAATTTCCCAAGGTATCGTCACTATGCCTGGTCTAATAAGACAGAGTTGTTCTTCGGCAAGCTTATCTGACGGGTCGTTCAACAATGATGACTCAAGCAGCATCAGCAGCACTGGTGTTCATGATGACTTATCTTACCCGGCCCTGGCAGTGCCTGGTTATGGCGAGAAGCCCCTTTCGGAACAACTAGAACCTATCGCTGTGGTTGGCATGGGTGAGTAACTAACCATGGAATTGAAGGGGTTTGGCTAACAATTTCAGGTTGCCGTCTGCCTGGAGATGTTAGCTCGCCTACTGCATTTTGGGATATGATGATCAACAAGGAGACTGGAAATACCCCCAAAGTACCTTCGTCAAGATTCAATATCGATGCGCACTATCATGTTGACAACGAACGACCTGGGTCGTTCAATGTTCTAGGAGGATACTTTCTCAATAGTAGCTTGAAAGAATTCGACCCTGGCCTATTCGGTATCACGCCCATCGAGGCTATGTGGATGGATCCCCAGCAGCGAAAACTACTCGAGGTAGTCTACGAGTGCTTTGAGAATGGAGGGGTATCGATGGAGTCGCTTGCTGGTAGCAAGACCGCTTGCTTTGTTGCCAGTTTTACAGCCGACTTTCAACAAATGGGTAATTACTCTCGGAGCTTCCTCATACGCAATACTGACATTGGTGTTTAGCCTTCAAGGAACCTAGTTTCAGACATAGTTACGCAGCCACGGGTGTTGATCCCGGTATTATTTCCAACAGAATCAGTCATGTTTTCGGCTTGAACGGCCCTAGTATCGTCGTAAATACAGCATGTTCTTCATCCGTTTACGCATTACACAACGCTTGCAACGCCCTCCGCAACAAAGAATGTTCCGGAGCAGTTGTAGGCGGGACAAACCTGGTGCTTACAGTGTATGTTATTCTCCACCGACTCGAGAATCCATCAAGTCCTCGAGCCTGTCTTAACCCAGAACTTCCATGCTGACTTGAAGTCTCCCAGTGATCAACATATGAACACAGCCAAGCTTGGCGTCCTCTCGCCATCATCAACTTGTCACACTTTCGATGCCTCAGCGGATGGATACGGTCGTGCCGATGCCGTTGGAGCTTTGTACCTTAAAAGACTTAGCGACGCTGTACGAGACGGGGATCCTATCCGCGCAGTAATTCGCTCAAGTGCTGTGAACTCCAATGGAAAAGTCCCCGCTGTTGGCATCACCCACCCGAATCTGGAAGGACAAGCTGAGGTCATTAAACATGCCTACATTCGAGGAGGCGACCTTGACCCCAAGCTCACCTCGTATTTTGAGTGCCACGGTACTGGAACAGCTGTTGGTGATCCCCTCGAAGTTCATGCGCTAGCCAACGCCATGAATGCGAACAGGTCTCCCGTAGAGGAGCGTCTTTGGATCGGAGCTGTTAAGACCAACATTGGCCACAGCGAAGCAGCAAGTGGAATCTCTGCAATCATCAAAGCAGTTCTTTCTGTTGAAAAGGGTGTCATTCCACCAACGCGAGGTGTTGTTAATCCAAACCCTGCCATTGATTGGGAGGGATGGAAGGTTCGAGTTGTCAATGACCCAGTTCCTTTCCCAGAACACATTCCTGTCAAGAGAATCTCTGTCAATTCATTTGGATACGGAGGAACGAACGCACATGTTATTGTCGAGAGTGCTGATAGCTTGGTAACCGGCCGCCGCTCATACACAGATGCTTCAAACAAGATTGCACCACCTCGTGATTCATTTCGCAGGAAACGCCCATTCCTGCTTCCTTTCTCCGCCCATGATAAGCCTACTCTGAAGAAGAACATTCTTGCCCTCGGCAATGTCGTCAACGATTATAGTCTTCTAGATTTGTCTTACACTCTCGGAAATCGTCGCTCCAAGCTTTCAAGCAGAGGGTTCGTGGTAACTAGCACTACTGGATTGGAAACAGCTTTCTCCAATGATCTTGACAGCTTTGCCTTTGCTGAAAAGAAGAGGACCCCGTTGATCGGGTTTGCATTCACCGGGCAAGGAGCTCAATGGGCCAAGTAAGTCAATTTTCCATAACAAGAATTACTGAAACACAAACTGACTTTTATAGGATGGGTGCTGAGCTTATCACTTACTATCCAAGTTTCCTGCGAAGCATTCGCATCCTTGACCGTACCCTAGAGGATCTCGCGGATGGCCCCAACTGGACGCTTGAGGACGTGCTCTTAGAAGACGCTGCAACTTCGAGAGTCGGCGAAGCAGAGTTTTCTCAGCCACTATGTACAGCAATTCAGGTTGCAATTTTCCAGCTTCTAGCAACCTGGGGCATCAAGCCATGTGTTACCGTGGGTCATTCCTCTGGTGAAATTGGAGCCGCCTATGCTGCCGGCTTGATTTCAGCGACAGAAGCAATCATCGCCGCCTACTATCGTGGCAAGGTTGTGGCTGATGTGAATACCGATGGAGCCATGCTGGCAGTTGGCCTAGGAGCTGAAGCTGTCGCTCCATATCTCGCCAACATGGACGGAAAGGTCCTCGTTGCCTGCCATAACTCTCCTGATGGAGTTACCCTCAGCGGGGACCTGACCGCCATAGAGACTGTCAAAGCAGCGCTTGATACTGCCAATGTATTTGCAAGAATTGTCAAGACTAGTGGAAAGGCATACCATTCTCACCACATGGCGCCAGTTTCTGAGAAATACGAAAATCTCATGCGTGCCGCAGCGGCAGCAGCACCATTTGATGCCCCGCAACCATCGGATGCCATCATGGTCTCCTCAGTCACAAATTCCATCATTGCAAAGGGCACGCTAATCGACGAAAAGTATTGGAGTGCCAATCTCCGGAGCCCGGTATTGTTCAATCAAGCGGTACAGACAATTGCAACCGATAGCCAAGTGCCCAAAATCGACTTACTCATTGAGATTGGACCCCATTCGGCGCTTTCTGGCCCAATTCGTCAGATCTGCACATCCAACAAATTTGACAAACTTGGATATTTACCAACCTTGCTCAGAGGTGCAGACTCTGCTGCACAGCTTCTGAAGCTCGCAGGAGAGCTCTTCTTAAGAAACTATCCACTAGATATGGAGCGCATCACTCTTATTGAGGCCCCACTCCCAAGTGAAAAGAGTCACCTGGTAATTATTCCTTCTTCTAGTCTCGATTACTTATGTTTGCAATGTTATGCCTTCTGATTCGTATCTCAATTTTCTCGCTTTCTACACTATCGAACTATGGTACTAACTCATTACAGGAGAAGGGAAGATTTATCGTCGACTTACCAACGTACCAGTGGAATTATGGCAAAGACCTCTGGTCAGAGGTCAGACACAGCACTGAGCACCGTCAACTCACCCACGCACGTCACGATATTTTGGGTGCCCTAATTCCTGGAGCTTCGCTACGTGAACCCAGTTGGAAAAATATGTTACGCATACGTGATCTGCCTTGGCTCAAAGATCATTCCTTGGGTGGGGAAGCTGTGTTCCCCGCAGCTGGATATTTTTCAATGGCCATTGAGGCCATTACCCAGCTCAGCGAGGTTAGTGCTAATCCAATCAACATTGACGGTTACGTCCTTCGGGATGTGTCTATCAAGGCTGCATTGGTTACTCCCGACGATGATACTGGAATCGAGGTCATCTATAACATGAGACCTGCCATCAATAACCATTCAAATTCCATAAGTGGCTGGTGGGACTTTAGCGTCTCCTCTGTCAATGAAGAAGGAAACCGTAAGGATCACATCGCAGGAAGTATTGCTGTCAATGCTCTTCCCAGAGGTCCCACTCCCCGAAAAGTTCCAAATCTTCCGCAGCGAGCAAGTGGAAAGTCCTGGAACCAGGGGTTACGAGAGGTTGGATTCAACTATGGATCGACATTTCAAGATATGACAGACATCCGCTCCGATAGCATCCAATATGCGTGCGCTTCTAAAACCACAATCAAAACGGAATGCGGAGCTATGCCCGGAGAATCTCGTTATGTTCTACACCCCGCTTGTGTTGATTCCACTCTTCAATTATTGATCGCTTCAATCTATGCGGGTCGCCTAAACGATATGGCTTGCGGTGCAGTACCCATTCAAGTTGATGAAGTGGCGATCTGGAAACCGACCGCTAAGCAGCTTACTGCCTCCACCGCTGATGCGTTTTCATGGATAGACCAAAGGGGCCTCCGTTCCTTCGTTGGCAGCTCCCAGCTGCTTGCGAGCGATGGCGAGGTTGTTATGCAGATCTCCGATATGCGTTGCACTCTTTACGAAGCGGCAGTTCCAATGAGAGTCGAGGCACCAATGGTGGTCCAGCCATACGGCGAGATGATCTGGAAGCTCGACATTGACTATTTGACACCTTCCAAGCTAGTTTCAGACTTGGATATACCTGAGCTTATCGAGCTCGCCGTTCACAAGAACTCCGCCCTCAAGGTTCTAGAAATTGGATCTTCTTATGCAGCAGATATCCTGAAAAAGTTTGGATCAACTGACTATACCGTCACTGGACTCACAGACGAGTCTGTTGCAGAACTCCAAACGATCGTGGAAGGTTGCAAGTCGGCCAAGACATTGAGACTTGACATCTCCGCCGATATTGGCCCTCAAGGTCTATCTGCCGACTCTTTTGATTTCATTATTGCCTCAATTGAGACAGATGACGTTGCTTCGCTGAGCAATATGCACACACTTCTTGTTAAAGGTGGCCGTGCTATCATCGAGTCTGGCTCCACGCTGAGGGAATCCACCCTCAAGATGACGAAGTTCTCTGGAATTGATTGTCCTATTCAACTAAAGAATGGTCGTGTTGCAGTTATTACAACAGCCTCAAAAACTGATGATGCAGCCGTTAATGGAGCCGCAAACGAAATCGTTCTCGTGTATCGTCAAAGCCCAGCCGAAATCTCTATCGCAATTGGAAAAGCGTTCACAGATGCTGGATGGCTCCCGAAAATCACCGCGTTACAATCTCTCCAAGAAAGTGAGCACAAATACGTTGTGATGATCGCAGATTTCGAGGGTCCTCTTCTGGCAACACTCAAAGAATCGGAACTCTCCGCCATACAGAGCATTTGCACAGTGGCATCCTCTGTCCTTTGAGTGACACCTGGAGGCCTCTTGGCTGGAAAGAAACCTGAGTATGCAATGGTGGCTGGTCTTGCACGATCAATCACCTCTGAGCAAATATCTCTCAACCTCACAACACTGGATTTCGACCTTGAAAACACTACGGCTGCCCAGATCTCGTCTGCTATCTTGACCGCTGCTAAGTGCCAAGTATCTGGAACCTCCGAAAGCGAATACTATGTCTCGGATGGGATGTTCCATATCAGTCGACTGATATCAAATGATAGCATTAACGATGTCTATGCTTTCCCCAAGGAGTCTACTGAACCTGTTCTTTTTGAATCCGGTATGCGGCTTGTTGGTCAAGTTCAGTCTGGCCAAGTCACATTCGCACGAGACGAGGAAAGCAATGATGATATTCTTCCAGCCAACTCCGTCGAAGTCCGTGCGACTGTTTGTGGACTTTCGAAAGAGGGTGTCCTTGTCATTAGCGGATCTGACTACCCCACCACATTCTCCCACGAGATTGGCGGAGTGATCGAGCGCGTTGGATCAAGTGTTTCCGGCTTCGCTGTTGGTGATGAGGTCGTTGGGTTCTCTTTCAGCAACTTTGCAACTCACCAACAAGTCGATAGCAATCTTCTTCAGAAGATTACTCTCGGAGATTCTCTTGCGGAAATTACCAGTCTCCTTATGGCTTATGGTGCTGCTCTTTACGGCTTGAAGGAGCTTGCAAATCTTCGCCCACAAGAAACAGTTCTCATTCTCAGTGGAAGTGGACACGCTGGTCTCGCCGCCATCAAGATGTCACAACTTATGAAGGCTGTTCCATATGTTGCCGTCGCAACTGAGGCGGAAGCTAAGAGACTCAAGGCTGAATTCGACCTGACTGAAGCTCAGATCTTGCTACCAACATCTGTCCCTCTTGCATTGCAGTTCAAAGAGGCAAGCGGACACAGCGGTGCTGATGTTGTCTTCAGCTCTGGTCTTGTTGATAGTGCTGTTGCTCAAGAATGTTGGAGAAACATCACAGTCTTTGGTCGTTTTATTGATTCAGGGAGAAAGAATGTCTTGAATCGCACTGTACTAGATACTGTTCCCTTCCACAGAGGCGCTAACTACATGTCGTTCGATATTTTGGATATCTATGCTCAGAAGGCTCAGATCCTTGGAGAGCTTTTGCGATTCACCATATCACTTTATCGCCAGGGGTCCATCAAACCTCTGGGCGCCATATCAGAGATACCCATCGCCGACCTTGACGACGCCGTCTCAGCGTTCTCAGATGACTTCTCCTCAGGAAAGACTCTTCTTACCTATCAACCATCCGAGAAGCCCCTCAATGTTACACGGTCTCGACCATCATTGAAGTTCCATGGTGATGCCACCTACTTATTGGTAGGCTGCCTCGGTGGGCTCGGACGTAGTCTCACTTCCTGGATGATGAAGAAGGGAGCTCGCAGGTTTGCATTCCTTTCCCGTTCTGGGACTGATGGTGAGCAAGCTGCCATTTTGGTAGAAGATGTTAAGAAAGCTGGTGCCGGAGTACAAGTCATCCGTGGTGATGTGACTGTCAAGAATGATGTTGAACGTGCGATCAAAGCAATCCCATCGAAGTACCCTCTCCGAGGTGTAGTTCACGCAGCAATGGTATTGAAGGTAATTCATATCTATTTCCCCAACTTTAGTCTCTTAACTGATTTATCTTAGGATGGGCTTTTCTATTCCATGACTTATAGCAATTGGGTCACCTCCACCCTTCCAAAGGTTCAAGGAACAATCAACCTCAATAAGGCCTTGCAAGCTACGGATCTAGACTTCTTTATCACCACGTCCTCAACTAGTGGAACTCTCGGAACCCCCGGTCAAAGCAATTATGCCGCTGGTAATGCTTTCATGGATTCCATGTCCCGCCATCGTCACCTTAACAACAAGCCTTCAACCTCACTAGTCCTCCCCATGGTACTCGGTGTTGGGTACGTCGCCGAGCACCCAGAGATTGAAGAGGCTCTTAAGCGCAAAGGCATCTACGGCATTGACGAAGAGCATCTCCTCGAAGCCTTCGAAGTCAGCATGGCCATCCAAAGCCAAAAGGGAGCAGCCGATCACGTCGTAGTTGGCATGGACCCCTCAAAGCTCCAAAAGTCGCTTCATGAAGCTGCCACTACCGACGGCTTCTGGATGGAAGACGCGCGCTTCAGATCCCTCATCCACACCATGAAATCCGCGTCCCCTACCTCCACTAGCGGTTCCTCAGCGTCCATTCTGTCACTTATCAATGCCGCCGCTACGCCCGCTCAATCCATTGAGATCGCTAGCGAGCACTTTATGGACAAATTGAGTCGACTGTTGATGGTGCCAAGGGACGAGTTCGAGCCCGACACGAAGAGAATTTCCAGCTATGGGTTGGATAGTATGATTGGAGCGGAGCTGAGAAACTGGATTTTCAAAGAGTTCGCGCTGGATATTCCATTCCAGCAGTTGTTGGGGGAGAGTATGACGGTCACGAGATTTGCTGGTCTGGTGTGTGCTAATCAGGGGATTGTTGTAGAGGGCTAGACTTATTGGGATGTTTGTTTTCGATGTTGTGGGTAGGAGATAGATTGCTTGGGCTTTGTCTTGATGAGGGCTGTTTTTATTTTTCTTATTCTCGTTTATCTTTTATGGTCTTTCTTTTTTGTATATCGAGTCTAAGTCTGAGTATTTCCTTTGAAGCTATATAAATACACATAGATATATATGATGGATACATTCTTTGGTATAAATAGTATGCGCGTACTGTCTGTCGCACCTGCCCTCTAATGTTTTTCTTTAATTACAAATATAGACTTAACTAAAGTACTAGATCAAATGTGCAAGAGACCTGTTTATTACTCTCTAGACACGCCTTGGAAATCAATTATGCTACAGTCACTTATATATACTTAATTTCCTAGACCACTTAGACAAATAAAAATCTCTTGATTTTAGTTATTTCAAATTACTCGTACAACTACTTTAGTTATATAAGGCATAGGACAAAATTGTTCTAAGCTAGGTATACCTAGAGTAGTAACAGCTTCTCTGATTGTATCGTATTCTAGTTATACTATTAGTTCTAGAAGCTGGGCCATTTGTATTATCGTGCCTTTTGGGCTGGAGGATTCCAAGATTGTCTACTGCCTGCCTTTTCTGACCCCTCTCTCTCGCCTGTTTTTGGGATTAAGATAACCAGTATGCGAAAATGAGAGGGCGTAATGTGGGGGAGGTTTAGATATCAAGTCTGGGTGGGATTACTTTTGGTGTGAAGCGAGAAAGTTTTCGAGTTTGAATTATTCTGTAAAAGACAAAAATGCCACCTAATTAATTTTTTTGCGACACAAATGCCACCTGTATACCACTCATTTCGTTTGCATGTGTCTTACATATAAATTTGATGAAAATAGAACTTGTATATCTGTCATAAAATAGTAGCATTTCTGTCGCTTGATACTCACTCCCTATATATCCCAATAGCCTCGAATATAGTGATTTGCCAGCTTATTTGCTAGCGCTAATTCTCGATTTCAAGTAGCTCCCAGCTAAGTATAGCCTCTAGAAATAGTCCTATAAAATATTAACTAGTTATATGTTAATAACCTCAAAGCCTATAATATGCTACTAAAACGGTATCAAGGTTAATTCGATTACGTACGAGGAGTAAGCAATTAAGGAAAATAAACAAGGAATCGAGTAAGTCGAGCGAATTAAGGCTAATAACCTAGGATTTAGACGTAAACGCAAGGGCGGGAGTACTAGACTCAACTACCACCAAAATCGACAAGAACTAGCTTACGAGGTATTAAGAAATAGCGACTAATAGCTAATTTACTTGGTTCATTATTTTTATAGTGCCTTGCTGACAAAATCTGATAAAGAAACAAAATTGCTATACTAACAAAAATGCCACTTCAAAATCCTCATTTTCAGACACACAACTTTTTCGAGGAAAACTTTTCTTCGAATTCCATCAATCCCGCTCAACCAAACGATAGCAGCTAGAATTTCAACCA